CCGGCCGGGGCCGTGCCCGGCCCCTCCGCTCGCTCCCTGGCGTCCAGGGGCACCGGCTCAGGCTGAGCGTGAACCCGCCCGCCTTTAAATAATGCCCACGAGACGGTCATCCCTGCAGGGACAAGGGACCCTGGCAACACCGGAGCTCTCCCGACCTGCCGGGGACGTCTCGCCCGCCGCCGGCCCGCCGCCCGCGCGCTCCTCTCCCGTGGGATGTGCGAGGGAACTAAGAGGGGACAACGACTGTCACAGTAATCTACGTCGGTGAAGCTGAAGCTGTATCTCAGGCATATAGAGAAGAGAAAGACAACAGTGCTGAATTTGAAACTATATATACACACATTAAAAATCCCCCCTCGTTTATGATACCAGGCAGAAATTGGACATGGCAGTTGTCACTGGGTTGAGGCCTCGTCGAGCTGTCACAGTCGGGCAATCTAGCGGAGTTAGGATGCCAAAATGCTCATTCTGACAATATCCTCGCCCCCCGGATCCAGCTGCCCGCGCTGCGCTCGGCTGCCGCGCGACTCCACGTCCGAGTCGCTCATCTCGGCGTCGGAGAAGTAGCCGTCAGTCTCAGCGTCAAAATGGCGCAAGATGGCCTTGGGCCGCTCGCCGGCGGGGGGCCCGTTCACGGCCTCGGGCTTCGGGGGCTGGGACCTGCGAGTCCCTCGGCTCTCCTTTGGTAATTTGAACCTCACTACGGTTTTCGGGCTACCTACTGAGTCAGGCACTTTAACCACGGGGCTGGGCTCAGGCTGGGCGCAAGTCATGGTCTCCTCCTCGTTGCTCACCGGGCTCCTCACGCTGGAAGAGGCGGGCGAGTCGTTCGCTTTGGGGACAGAGCCCTTCTTGGCCGTCTTTTTCGTGTCGCTAGTCCCTTTGCGGTCTGCGGGAAGCTTGGCCGGTCCTTTCTCCGACTTGCTAGGTCTCGAATCGGGAGCAAAGGGCTTCATCGCGTTGTCTGATAAGTCACTCGCGTTGTTAGTCCACTGCTCTGAAGCCTCCTGGTGACTCTTGAAGATTGTGTTCAGGTTGTTTTTTGACAGTTTTTTCTTAGTGTTCATTCTCATTTTGCTTTTCACCTTCTTTGTGGCCTCGCTCTGCTTGAAGGGAGACCTCAGAGAATGATCCATCATGAAACTCAGCAAGGTCTCCTCGTCCTGCAGGAGCTCCTCGGAGAGGCCCGGCGTGTTGTCCTCGTGGTGGGCGTTGTTCAGGGACCACTCGCTCATCGTCACGTTCTCGGCCGTGATCTGGACGGACTGGGCAAGCCAGCTATTGAAGAAGGTCCCGTCTATGGGGAAGGAGGTTGCCAAGCCTGAAAAAACAAAAGCAGAGAGTTCCCTCAGAAGTCAGAAACGTCCGGCTTTCCCTTAATATGCAATAACCAAGGCACATGGGCTTCAGTAAAACTCTTTGGTGCTAATGAAATGTTCAAAACGTCAAATATAAGGTACCGCGCGGGAAAAGAAGAGGGAGACCTCTCAAGTCCTAACGGTTAATTCGAGGTATACGGAGTTTGCATGACAGCAACCCAAGCAATGCACCACATACGACGACGCCCCGCAAACGGCCTTGCTGAGATCTCCGAATCGGAAAGGAGGACCTTTCTACAGCAAATAGGTGAAGCCCAGACATGGCACGATGACGCTCT